TTTCCCATCTAGGCAATTCTGGGATTCTGAGAAGGGATGGGAAGAGAGGCTGGGAGCCAGGCACTGCTTCAGGGGCCTCCCTCAATGCCCAGGGACATGCTCAGACCCCAAGAGAGACCAATTTTGGAGGACATGAGATGACCCTGCTCAGCACCTGCCCTGCAGAAGGCTGCCAGGAGGGGAGCTTAGCTGGTGCCCAGATCCGAGAGGGCTGGAAGGATGCTACACAAGAGACCCAAAAGGATGCGGAGCTGGAGGAGAACGGCTGGAAAGGGACCCCCCAGGGAGAGCTGGTACCTTCTTGTGCCTCAATAGGGATGTGAGAAGAGGCTGACTTGGAGCTGCCCTTGCTCTTCTTGCTGCTCTGGCTGTTGATGGAGTGGTGAGACTGCAGCTTTCGGTGGGGCTTCTGATTGCTGGGGAGGGGGCGGAAGACCCCGTTCCCTGCCTCCCCGTTGGCACCTCCTGGATCTGGTCCCCGCCCAGCACCGTTGGGCAGAAGGTGGGTGCAGGAGCTGGGGGTCTGTGGGGTTGCTCGCACCTGGGGCTGACCTGGGGGAGAGAACAGCATGTTACCCCACTGACCTTTCAGCCCCCCTGCTCTCATCCACGACAGAGAAACCCCTGCCCAGTCCTCTGCCACTGCACAGGAACCTGGACCCCAGTTGGACACGAGGTGACCTCATGGGTGGGATGAAGTGATGCTAACAGATGCATGGTCCATGAGGATGGAGATGGAAAAGGAGATGCAGAAGAAGAGATGGCTGGAAGGAAGGAGACAGGCTCCAGAGAGAGGAAGGGATGAAAAAAGAGAAAGAAATAAAAGACTTGTCATGAAGGACATGCTGCAACTGCCAAAACTCAGCAGAGGACCTGGCAGAGGAGGTCCCCTGGAATCCCAGCACAGGCAGGAGGGATGAAGCCACCGAGGCCAACCAGAGCGGGTGCAGAGACACAGCGAGACACACACGCCTCATGCCAAGTGGGGAAGAGAAGAGCCTGTGGCTGCTCCAAGCTGAGAGCCACCATTCCATAAGCCACCATCCCACAGCTGAGACAGAGCTCCAGGCTGTCCCCATCACCCCCAGTAAAGCCAGAGAAGATGAAATGCCACCAGAGATCCAGGCTGCTCATCTCCCCAGGACCGTGCGAATTGACCGCTTAATTCGAGGGCTCCCCAGCCTCTGGCTGAACTTTTCTTCAGGAGGAGGAAAAGAAATATCTGCTCTGTCTGCACCTCCCTCCAGCCCTCGCACGCCGCAGCCATGAGAGAGGCCAGCGGCCCCGTGTCCCACCGGGATGCTGCCGGAGCCAGCGGCACAGCTCAGCCCATCGCTCCTGCCCTGTCCCCACGCTGCCGTCCTTCTGCGGTGGGGGAGAGAACTGGGAACCTGGCAGAAGGGGTGAGGGGTTCAATCATCCATCCCCCTCTCCTTGTAACAAGAGCAATCAAAGCCGCAAATAAAATCCTGCCTGATGGAGCTTTGGCCAAACTTTGATTTTCTTCTGCTGCAGCAGTAAACAAGGGATGATTCAGGCGAGAGGCTCGAGGGCAAAGGCACCTCCAGCCATCCGGGAACAGGAGCTGCTTTCTGTGTGGGGTGGCTGTGGGGCACGCAGAGACGGACAGGGCGGAGGGGGCACAGATGGTGTTTGTCCTGCCCCCACCCTTGCTGGCCAAAAAAAAAAGTAAAGTAAAATAAAATAAAAAAATAGATGGAGGTTAAAAAACCACAAGTGCCCGGACCCAGCACCCGGCTCTGCCAGACTGAGCTGGGCTCAAACCACGGAGGAAGTTTAACCAGGAGCTTGGGTGAAACGCTGAGTCTTTGATTCACGCTGGGAAAGGAACTTAAAATAACCAGAAATAAGCAGAGCTGAGCGG